ATTTCTCTCTTGGAATTCATTTATTGTGTTTACCATGATTTTTTTTATTTATTTGCTCTTTTAATATACTTATATCCCTTTTATGAGAGCATATTAAGTATATAAATTATTATTTTAGTACTTTTCTACTTTAAAAATGGAAAAAGCTAATAATATTCATCAAAAAATCAAATTTATTAAACTTAATGACAGTAAGAAGTCATAGAGGTGATTTTATTCTAAATATTCTATTCATTGCCAGTATATATTGGTCTTGGGCAAGTAATATCTTTGTATTCATCTTTCACAAATGGATGAATATTCTGGTAAAGATATCTTGTCTTTTGTAATCCAAATGGATAAAGCTCTAATTTCTTCAAAAATGTCTGCTTTCTTAGATTTCAATAAATTGAATTCAGTAAAAGGTCCATTACCTTTCCCCTCACTGAATTCTACCAACGCACCCTGCAACTTCACCACCTGCTCCCACCTCTCATCTTTGTCCTTCACCAGTCTTTTTTTTCCTTCCTTCAGCTCATCTATCCATCCTTCCCACCTTTCCTTATGCTCTTTGTTCCTGTATTTTTCATCATCCAACTTTTCTTCCAACCTCACTAATCTTTTTTGTTTATTCTCCCCTTATTCGAACTTCTCCAACTTCTCCACTGCCTTCCTATAATCTCCTCTTGCTTATTCTAATTCATCTTTGATGTCTTTATATGTTTCCATCTTTAAATTTAAAAAACATATCCTTGAATGTAGTAGAATTTTTTGTTCAAAAATTCAAACAACGTTTTTTTACTGATAACAATGCAATATGATGTTCATTAATTACATTTTGCATAAAGGAGAATTTTCTTTGTAGTAATAGTCAGTAAAAAAATAAATCAATATTGTAATAATAAAATTATTTTCCTTCTAGGGATTTCTGCTTTTTGTTGGGTAATAGCACACTTTCATTTTGTTTTCTTTTTCTAACATTTATTATTTTTCTTCTTGGTAAATTTCATAAGTAATCCTTTCTTAGATAAGTTTCCAGTGTCTGAGTATCATTTATTTTGAAAATATAAGGTGCAATCTTTTCCACTTGTTCCTTTTTTAAAATACTTCTGATAGTGTTCCATGTCGCAATCCAAAAAAGGAAACCAAAGTGGTTGCAAAGGTGATTGCAACCATCACCAAGAATTGCAATCAGCATCTATAACTTCTGACAGTACTGTAATTCTTTGGTTCCATAGTAGATCTGATATAAATTAATTTCATATTAACTAGTTTCATCCGGAAAATATAAAAAAATTTTACACGTGTCAATTGTAAGTTTAATAATAAAAAAGTGTAAAACTTACGTC